CTTTTCCCAACCCTTTACTCTGAGTAGGTGTCTGTCTTTGTGGTTGAGGTGTGTTTCTTGTAGACAGCAGAATGTTGGATCCTGTTTTCGTATCCAATCTCTAAGTCTGTGCCTCTTTATAGGTGAGTTGAGACCATTGATATTAAGTGATATTAATGACCAGTGATCGATGACTCCGGTCATTTTTTTGGGTAGTAGCGTGTATGTGTTTTCCTTCTTTGAGTTGTGCTTGTGGAGGGTCGCTAAATGTCTGAGTTAATGTAGGCAGTGTTGGGAATGTTGGATTCCTTGGGTTGTGATTTTCCTTCTAGTATTCTCTGTAAGGCTGGATTAGTAGCTACGTATTGTTTAAATTTGTTTTTATCCTGGAATATTTTGTTTTCTCCGTTGATAGTGAACAATAGCTTGGCTGGGTAAAGTAGTCTGGGTTTGCATCCATTGTCTCTTAGTTTCTGCAGTACCTCTATCCAGGACCTTCTGGCTTTCATGGTTTCCATCGAGAAGTCTGGTGTAAGTCTGATAGGTTTACCTTTATAAGTTACTTGACCTTTTTCCTTTGCAGCTTTCAATATCCTTTCTTTAGTCTGAATGCTTTGTGTTTTGATTACTATATGACGAGGGGATGTTTTTTTCTGATCCAGTCTATTCGGTGTTCTGTATGCTTCTTGAACCTTCATAGGAATATCGTTCTTTAGGATGGGAAAGTTTTCTTCTATAATTTTGTTGAGTATATTTTCTGGACTTTTGAAATGCAATTCTTCTCCTTCTTCTACTCCTATTATTCTTAGATTTGGTTTTTTTATTGTGTCCCACAGTTCCTGAATGTTTTGTGATGAGAATTTGTTGGATTTGCTGTTTTCTTTGGACAGAGTGTTTAATTTCTCTATGGTGTCCTCAGAGTCTGAGATTCTTTCTTCTATCTCTTGTATTCTATTGGTTAAGCTTGTTTCTGAAGTCTCTGTTCGTTTACCCAGATTTTCCATAGCCAGCCGGCCCTCGGTTTGTGATTTCTTCATTGACTCCATTTCAGTTTTCAAATCTTGAACTGTTTCTATTACCTGTTTGATTGTTTTTTCTTGGTTTCCCAGAATTTCATTTACGGATTTACTCATTTCTTCAAACTTTTTGGTATATTTCTCTTCCATTTCTTTACTCATTTCCTCAATTTTTTTGTTATACTTATCTTCCATTTCTTTACGGCAGATTTTCACCTCCTGTTTAATTTCCTCTATTATTTTCATAAAGAAGCGCTTAGAGTCAATTTCTTCTATTTCTTCTGGCGTAGGGTGTTCAATTCTTCTAGTTTCGAGCTCCCTGGATTCTGGCGGTGTCATGTTGCCTTTCAGGTTGTTGGAGGAATTCTTGCATTGGCGTCTGCCCATTTCTTCCACTCTGGATGAAACTCCTCAGCACTTTCTGGATAGAACTCCTCAGCACTCTCTGGGTAGGACTTCACAGCACTCTCTGGATAGAGCTCCTCAGCCCTCTCTGGGAAGAACTGCTCAGCAGGGCAACAGGGCTAGCTGGTCTTCCCAGGACTCAGGAGACAAAGGGCCCGCAGCAGTGGGGGGAGGGGAGGGGTCCCTTGGAACACCGAAGACCCTGCCGCAGAAGCTGAGGGGGGGAGGGCTGTGCTCCCTTCCCAGACAGGGAGGCAGGCTGCCCAGGCTAGCACCCACTCACCTCTCTGGGAAGAACTCAGTAACAGGCTTTTTGTTATTCTAATTCCTATATGACAAATCCTAAATTATATCGCCTTATGTATTTATAATGTAAAATATATGAGAATGAATGTACAGAATATTTTATATTACAAAATACCAGACAATTGGATGGCAATTCCAAAAATGAAATAAAATGAATAATAAGCCTATGAAAAATAATAATAGCAATAAATTGATTTTTAGCCTGTGTTGTAAATATATGCAGAGTCACCAAGGTAAGCAGATCTGATGCAGCAAGTGCAAATACTAGATCACCTGCCTTTGAGTTTTAAAAAAATAATAAAATAAAGGTGCCCGGAGAAGCTTGTGATACCCACCGAGGCTCCCAAGAGAAGCTTGTGATACCCCCTGAGGCTCCCAAGAGAGTGGTAACAGCAGCCCTGTTTGTTCAGCACTTATTATGTACCAGGCACAACCCCAAGTCCTTATGCTCTCTCCTTAGGGTTGTGTCAGATTGCTCCCGGTTATATGATGAGGAAGCTGAGGGACAGAGAGAGGGGCTGACCTGCCTGCCCCGTCACACAGTGGAACACTCAGCACTCTATGGGTCCCTGGCTCTTCAGAGGGGATGTTTTTTCTTCCTGGAGTTCAGCTTTAACTCTCAGGAGTCAAATGGAATATCCCTGACCTCCTTCATGCTGCCCCCAAATGCGCTAGGTGTAATAGACATGAAGACAGAAACCTGGAGCTAGGCTAGGGAGAAGAGAACGCACCTCCTGACATTTGTGACGGCCCTGGGCTGACAGTGAGGGCTAAGCCTGTCTCTCTTGGCCAGCATGTAGCATCAGAGGATCCATGGAGCAAACAGGGGGGTCTCAGAAGGCTGAAGTCACCAGTGGAACCTGAGGGGCTGACACAGGGGGACAATAGCAAGGGCTGGAAGGCAGTCAGGAATCCTGCTGGGCTGCCAGCGCTCTTCTGCACTTTTGACCAGCCCTTTGTGAACTCTCCTCTCTAGCACAGAGTCTTGGGCATTCCCTTGCCTTGATTGCATGTCCAGTTGTTGTAATGAAACACCCTCAGAAGATAAGGGAGCGGGGTGGTCTGGATGAGAATAGCCCCATAGGCTCATGAGTTTGAGTGCTTGGTCCCTCCTTGGTGGAAATGTTTGGGAAGGGTTAGTGTGACAGTGATGGCTATTTCTGGTTTTTAACTTGACTGCGTCTGGAATTAACTAAAACCCAAGCTGCTTGGTACACCTCTAAGGGATTTTACTTGATTAGATCATGTGAGGTCAGAAGAGCCACCTTTAATCTGGGTCATGTCTTCTGGTCGTAGCCTACAGAAAGGATGTGGAGGAAGGAGGCCCTTGCTGTTTGCTTGTGAATGAGATATAAGGTCTCAGATACTGCTCCGACACTATGCCTGCCTGCCTGCCACCGTGCTCCCTGCCATGAGAGTCATGTGTTCACCCTCTGGAACTGTAGGTTCTCAATAAACACTTTCGTCTACAGCACACTATAGGATAGGATAGGATAAGGTAGGGTAGGGTAGGGTAGGGTAGGGTAGGGTAGGACAGGATAGTATCTGTACAGTTCCCCATCGCTGTGTCTCTTCACAGCGATAGAAAAGTAATGAAAACAGAGAAGGTTAATTCTTGTTCTCAGCTCAAGTCACAGTCCAACACAGTGGGAATGGTTTGGTGGCAGGGGCATGAGGTGGCTGGTCACATGGTGCTCAACTCACTTGCTACCTTTTTGTGTGTTTAAGATTTATTTTATTTGCTGGGCAGTGGTGCCACATGCCTTTAATCCCAGCACTCGGGAGGCAGGTCTCTGTGAGTTCAAAGACAGCCAGGGCTACACAGAAAAACCCTGTCTCAAAAAATTGAAAAAAACAAAAACCTGACTGCCCTGGGGGACGAAGAGGGAGGAGGAGGGGGAGTGGGGGAAGTGGGAGGGTGTTGGGAGTGGGGGCGGAAATGGAAACTTTTATAATTTAATAAAATTTGCTTAAAAAAAACAAAAACCATTATTTTATTTAAAATATATGGGTATTTTGCCTACCTTACATGCATGCTTGACACCTGTGAAAACCAGAAGATGTGGGATCCCCTGGAATTGGAGTTAGAGACAGTTGTGAGCTCCCATGTGGATGCTGGGAGTCGAGCCTTTAACCTTAACCTGTCAGAAGTTGTCAAAGGTTTGCTTCTTGCTTTTTATACAACCCAGAACCCAAACTCAGTAATGGTGCCACCTACAGTTTAGATGGAGGATGGTTCCACCTCAATTGGCTTAATACAGATAATCCCTCCATAAGTGTGCCCAGGGCCTTGCCTCCTCAATCCTTGGCATCCAAATACCCAAAGAGTCTGGAAACAGCTCCCACAGGGTATTTAAACTGTACCCTTCCCCAGAGCCCAAACACGGGGTTTTCTCGTCTTCCTTTCCCGTCTCCTCTCTGGGAGGCTGGAAAGTCATCCAGGAGCCCTTATATCCATTAAACCTGGACTTTTTCTAATTCTGTTTGATTTGGTCTGATTCGGATTATTGCATCAGCAGAGAGGCTTATTGAGGTGCAGAAATTTTTCAGTAACAATATTAATCTTCCTGTCCTGTAAATCCGACCTGCCCCCTTACTGCTCAATCACCTTCCATGGTTGCCTGTGGCTCATGGGCGCTGCGCCACCTTGATTCCCAGAGCCTCCCTGCTGATGTTTGGCCAGGTTCAGACACCGGGGTGACAAAGATTTTTATTGCTGGGAATGCTCGCAGGATGGGGGTGGTCCCAGGCCAGGTGTGGGGTCACTATGTGCTCAGCAGCTCCACCCACAGCCATAGCTCGCCCTCTGTGCGCAGGATCAGCTCTGGCTGCCTGCGTGGCTCCTTATCGTCCAGCCAGACGCGGAAGCGCAGCAGGGTCAGCTCCAGCGCCACCTTCATCTCGCACAAGGCAAAAGTCTGCCCTGCCAATGCAGTTCCTGTGGGAGGGCGGGGTGGGAATTCTGATTATGCTCTAGACCCCATCCCGAACCAACACAGCACTAGAACCTGGCCCCGGACCAATGCATGGACATCCACATGCTCGGAGCCTGGTCCAGACCAGTAACCAAATGGTCTAGGGAGGGACTCTGAGCACGGAGAGGGGCTCTTCACCTTCCTCTCCCTGGTTCCCCAAACATTTGCACAATTCCTGTGCTAATGGGCAGGAGAGAGAGGCTAATGCCCCCCCACACACACACCACCCCAACTCCTCCTGCTTATCAGCCCCAGACACCACCCCCTCACTCCTGGTCTCACCTGGGCCCTGGGGAGAAGGGAATAAAAGCCAGGGATGACCTACCCTTGGAGCTGTCTGCATCAAATCGAAAGGGGTTATAGACCTGCAGGAGATAAAAAGGTCTGGTGGGTGAGTGCCATCTGCCACCACAACCAGGAAGGATTAGAGAGTCCTCTGCATGGAAGGTAAGAACTGATGTCTCTGCCTCCGGGACTGGAAGAGTGCTCGCCTATGCTCGGAGCAGTTGGAAGCTCTGGATTCCATTTCCACACCAGCATAAAACTGAATGGGTGAAAACCTGTCATCTTGGCACCCTAGAGGTGGAGGCAGGAGGATCAGTGGTTCAGGGCCAATCTTGGCTATATAGGCTTTCCAGGTTAGCCTGGGATCCCCAAGACCCTGCTTGGTACAACCTATGGTTAGGGTTGGGGAGGTAGTTGAGTGCGTAGAGCACTTGCCTGGCGGGTGGAAAGCCCTGGATCCCATGCCCAGCACCATATAAACCAGGCACAGTGCTGCAAACCTGTCATCCCAACACTCAAGAGGTGGAAGCAGATGGATCAGAAGTTTTACATCATCCTCAGCTACAGGGCAAGGTCAAGGCAAGCCTGCACTACACACACACACACACACACACACACACACACACACACCTTCTCCTCTAGAACCATAGCCTACAACATAGGAGAATAAAGGGACAGAACCTCGGGGTCAGGCCACACAGTTGGATTGTGATGGGTCCCGAAAATACTTATTCTGCAGATGACACCTGTGGAGGAAGTGAGGCAGTCAAGACAAACTGAGCACGCTGGACCTACTCTCTGCCCAGGACCCTCCCTCTCCTCCCCGATGCGGTGGGCACCTTTGGGGATGACCCGACCATCTGGGAGCACAATGTCCTGAGTGCAGCAGCGGGAGACAGCAGTGATCAGGGGATGCAACTGCAGACTCTCCTTGATGCACATGGTGAGGAAGGGCAGCTGTGCCAGGTCGTCCCTGAAAAGAAACCGCAGCCAGCAGGTAATCAGGTCAAAGTCAGAGCCCTTCAGCTCCTCTGTGACCTAGTGAAACCTTTCTCCCTATAATAAAATAATCTTGAGATGAAGTCCTTGAGCATTGCGAATGCACAGGCTGAGTAGACAGCTCAGTGAGTAAAAGCACCTGCCAACAAGCCTGAAGACTTGAGTTCAATCCCCAACAGCGTAATTTTTAAAAATGAGAACAAAAAGAAAATTCCAGCAGTGGAAGGCTAAGAAGGAGGATTATGAGCTTCAGAGAAGCCTATGGTACACAGTGACACACCATCTCAAAATACATTGACTACTAATTAAGAGTTGGTTGTCTTACTGATTACTTAGTTTAATTGCGTGTTTATTAGTAATTAACATTTAATTAATAAAAATGTTTTTAAATCAAAGAATTAGGGAAGTACAAAGAATGTTTAGTCAGATAGCTTTAGAATCTTTTTCTGAGAAACCTCAACATCTAAATGTCAACAGAATAAAAAGTCAACAAATGGGCAGAGAGATGCTCAGCAGTTAAGAGGACTTCTGTTCTCAACAGCTCTCATCTGCTCTGCAACTCCAGAGACTCTGACACACTCTCCTAGCTTCTGCAAGCACTGCCCTCACATGCACACACACACACACACATAATTTTAAAATAAAAATAACACCCGCCTGCCATCCTGGCTCCCATCCAGCAGGGGCCCTGACTTCTAGCAGAGGACCATCGGTGGGGTGAGTATGCTTCGGGCCGTGGCAGGGTCCCGGTGAGGAGGAGCTTGGGTGTTC